TCAATATTTTCAGACTTATTATTTCTTGGATGTATTACACCAAATATTGTTGGAGTAATCGTTATTGCTATTGGACTGGGGATTTCATGTATTTATGACAAAAGTATGTCGATAAAGCATAAAATACTGAAAACGTCAATCTTTAAGTATGCTGTCACATTATTTTACCCGCATAAAATTATCAAAAGAAGAAATGAATCCTAAGAACAAAAGAAATGAGCCCCGAATGCTACCGATTTGTTTTAGAATAATGGCGAAATTAAATCATTTAAACTTCGTACGATTTCCATTATAATATAGCTTGATTAAAGAAGATTTCTTAATATAGAACCAATTATATATTAGGAACTGTAAAATCAAAACTCAGACACTACAAGCTTTTACCGGTTTGGTAATTCCAGCCTTAATGTCAAAAATTTGTAAAAATCTTCTCGGTGTAATTGCTAGCCGCTTGCATAAACAAGATTGTTAATCAAGATCAAATTTCATGTTCCCCGTGGTGTTAAATCGAACATTAAATTGAAAAGTTTCCGCAAGCAGAGTCAAACGATTCAACCTGTGAACGGCAGAAACCCCGCAGAATGCGCAACCACAATAAAACGGCACTAAAAAAAGGTCCACTTAATGAAGTGCAATGGTAGAGACACGGTATCTCAGTCAGAAGGCGCACAGAGTACACCGCTTGCGAAATCATTCCCGAACGTGATATTGAGTCGACCGATTTGTTGTTGCATATTCTTTCGGATAAACGGGCAAAGATATACGAGCGATCAAGAGCGTTCGTGCGTGTCGAATCATGGGAAAGATCAACGGATTTGCGGGGTTTACCGGTGTAACAGGGTTATCTGGTTCCGAGGTTTCCAAGTCTGCTAATTCCGATCGACGCTTCACGCAATTATCTCAGCGGCGGCGTGTAAAATAATTCCGATTATGTTTCCGTTGCAGCCGTTGCATGATCAACGCTCCACCGCGTACCCTGGCAAGGAGAGAAGACGTATTCCTGGCTTGAGCAAGGCGCAGAGGCGTATCAAAGCGTCCAGCACGCCGGCGCTTCTGGATCGCGATGTGGAAAGGTGAGTGATTTTTTTAATTAACCTTGTACGGTGCCACCAAAAAGTCTGTTAACGTTTAATTATGTTACATATTTTCCGCTTGCCCGGCAAATTGGTCGATACTAACGCGATCAGTTTTTGTTGCCTTTTAAAAACAACTGCGTTTGTCGAGACATTGCACGATTTTTGTAGAAAATACATCCGATCAATTAGATACACCAAGTAATTGCTCACTAAAAGCATCTTTGCTTCAATAATTGCAACACGAAGAATCTGGAAATGCTGAAAAATGAAACGTTTGTAAAACTTTTGTATACGCGATGTGCCATAATTATGTTAACAGCCGGAAAGGGGTGATTCCTGAGGTCATTTGAAGTAACTTTTTTCTTAGCGAAAATGCGATCCGCGGCTTTGTTTATGAGTTATTAACGAAAAACACTGACCAATTACAGGCGAGCTCAGCTGGCGCTAGGCGGCCGAGCCAATCAGCGAAACTGGGCTACGACCGCTCGTTGACTCTGCCGCTTCGCACTAGACTCTCATTGAGTTCGCCTCTCATTGGCCACTGTTTTTCATTAATAACTCGTAAACGAAGCCGCGAATTGCATTTCTGCTAAGAAAAAAGTTACTTCAAATGATCACAGGAATCCCTCATTTCCCGGAAATACTATAATTTCGGGACACCTTGCATATTGTCTAGCAACGTAGACTTCCTATCGTCTCGAAAAATGCAAACCGTTTGCCTCGATTATTAGAAAAATTACTCTGTTTTAAATAAGAAGTGTCCACATTCATTTGTCCACGATTGCAGATCAACATTGATCTCAAAGAAACAGCTTGAAAAATCTGTGAAAAAAATGAGCGGGAATCTGAAATAGAATCTGAATAATTGTCGTGGAATTGTCAAAATGATCTGCTTTGAAAACTCAGATTCAATGAGGTTTAAACTCAGCTTTGCGAAGTCAAGAAACCTGTTTTGCTCGATCTAGTGAAAAGAAACAATGAATTTAATGAATTTTAAAACAGAATTCGTGTGCAGTGTCATGTATTAATAATTCCTCGAAAATTGGGAATTCAATGTACGGAAGCTTTCTGGAGTACCTGTAATTCATTGGGCACCGGAAACATCACGGCAGAGTGATTTTATCGACAGCCAGGCCCCGCGTGAAAAGTCGACCCGTCGGTTTTCGATCACGCGAATCCTTTTTCCTCGACTCGGCTGCTCCATCTTTCAGCATAATTCCCTCTCGAAATCTGCTTTCCGATATGTCATTACGAAGATTGCATTCTAAGGAAAGACTTGTGCTCGGAAATAGTATATCAGGTGGGAAGGCGCTTTCTTTGTTACAGATTCGAGACAATTTTCCTCCGATCTAATTAGAACTGCTCCTTTAAGCTTTTTTTCGGATCGTTATCGCGTACGCGTACGTATTACGTATTACAGTCTACGCGTTAGTCACGAGAGTTAGAAAGTTTTCATTACGCAGTTTTGCGGGTCTTGTTCTGTTCTTCGGATGTTAATTAACGGTTTGAATTATTCCAGGCGTATTCATAAACGCGAGCTATTAGTCATGTCGTGGTTTTCCGAGAAGTTCTTTTTTATTAGATTCAGCGGTATACTTCGCGAAATTGATTCGACTAAAAAAAAAAAGAGGTCGAGTTGCGAATTTCGCCAGTTGGTCTCGACGCTCTTCAAAATTAGAACTTTTACGATTTTTCGAGGAACGCGCGCGAATTCTTCGACACGATAGAACTGAGCACTTAGGTGGATGTAAAATATTCCTCTGCATAAGAGATATCCAGTCAAATTGGAAGCTACAGTTACTCTCAATAGTGAATATTTTCTCACGTCAATGGTATCGAACATTGTTGCGCATCACAATACATTAGACTTTCGGATACTTTCTATACGTGTGAGCGAAATATCTAATTCCCAAGCAATTATAAACTTTATTAACAACGAATATTCTTTAGATAAACTCTTTTTTAATATGAATTTTGCCACATATTCGTATGTTATGCGTCGAGGTTCAAACATGAAAGTGATGTTCTGTTTCTAGATATTATGAAATCTTTTTTTCTGGAAAATCGTCACTCAAACATTATTGGCGCACAATGTAGCACATTCAAAGTGTAAAACATTTATGTCTGTAAATTATAAATATAGTAACCGACATTTTTACATGTGTTTGAAATAATTGATGTAACTTAAATCGAATAAATGTAGAAACGCAATCTTTAAATATTAATTAACAACGAATTCACAATTTTTGAGAAAAAAATTGAGAATTGCAGAGCGCGATCTCATTGACTATGAAGGAGAAACAATAGAACAAGATGCGATATTGTGTCTAAAAATGAAATGAAATGAAATACATCACTAGATGACTTCATAGTTGCAACGAGCTATTGAAGATTAATTGATAACAGA